AGTTGCACTTAATGTTGAGATGAGCTTTAATAATATAATTAAGAAACTTTTATCTATCTTGTACATCAAGTTGAATCATGTTGTATATGTTGTAAAATTGTCAATATCTTTATATTCCTAGGTCAAAGACATGAACCACCTAACATGCCTAACCAAGTTCAAGGGAAATAATCTATTGACATACTTTTAGAAACCGACTGTTGCCAGCCTTAAATACACAGGCATATACATAAATTTATTTTTAACTCATCAAAGCCGTACTGACAATGTACACTGGAGTCACAATAGTGAGAAGTATGTAGGGACTGTCTCAAAACCTGCTGAAGTTTGAATCAGAGTCCATATTCTCTGTTGGAGGTGTGTTCCTTAAAACATTTGAGTCAAAATTGATGTGATCAAAGCACTGAGCACCATCCCCACAGCATATTGAGACCACAGTCACGACAGTGTGAAAAAAAGCATGGATTTCATCACCGATTATTGCCAATTAGTGGCATATCCAGATTTAACTTATCGTCGACCATAAATGGGTTCTAATGTGTGATAGATTAGCAGGAAATGACATGCCAATGTAACTATTTTCATCATGATTTGAAACTAATAGGATCCTGTTCCTTAAATAAAAGTGGCTATGTCAATATTGTGAGTGTGTTTATGAAATTAATTAATGTAATTAACATGGGTAACTACTTAGTGAAGGAATGGTTGATACGTGAGTACTTAACACGGTCAAAGCAAACATAAAATATATTTAACACTTAAGTCAATTATGAACACTTAAAATCAATCACTGCATCAACACTGGGAAACAGATCAATCATCGATAACAAGAGAGGATCATCATCATCAGTTCTAGATATTTGAAGCAATCAGGGAATAACTGAGTTAGTGAAGACACATCTTCCCGAGGCAAGAGAGTTAACTGACTATAAAAATCCAGTTTTTGCTCTTGCCGGACTAGGCTGGAATTCCTGGGCTTAATTGTAGCGCCACCAGTGGTTATTATGAGTTATGTCCGTTCTGAGCCTCTCCTATGGACCAATCCGATTCCATCACTTGCATTTGTTTCAAACAAAATGGCGGCGCCCATTCAAGACGATCTGATCGATAATAAAGATCTATATTGTGATAAAACGGGTCTTACATCGCGAAGTACATCAAATCACACGAGCACCTTGATTAAAAACATGAAAAGGTTTGGAAAATATCTGTTGACAACAAGTTGGCGGTGCACATGCTTTGCAAATCCTGCAATCGACCAAATCTGCACGATAGTTTACGAACTGGATTTCTTTTTCGTTGCGTGAATTTGATTGGACTATGCATAGACTCATTAGTCCAGCCAAAATCCATAATACCAGCCTAGTTCGGCAAGGGTGGAAAGTCAACTTTTAAAGTCAGTTCACTCGATTGTCTTGGGATGATGGTGAAGACAATAATAATTGATAACTTTACAGTGAGTGAGTGTTTGTAGTTTAACGCCGCAATCAGCAATATTCCAGCTATATCCCGACTGTCAGTAAATATCGAGGCTGCACGAGGTAAATCCAGTGATTGACCTCCTGAGCATCAATCTACGCATTTGGGTCGAGCGAGCGTGTGAGTGAGTGAGTGTATTGTTTTACACCGCTTTTAGCAATATTCCAGCAATATCATGGCGGGGTCACAAAAATTGTGACTATATTTGAGATACATATTGCCTCTTATGAAGATCTGGGTCAGAATTGGTCTCCAGCAAGCCTGTAGTAAGAGGCGACTAACGGGATCAGGTGGTCAGGCTCAGTGACTTGGCTGATGACATGTCAACATATCCCAATTGTTTAGATCAATGTTCTTGATACCAATCACTGGATTGTCTGGTTCACATTTAATTCTTTACAGACCGCCATCATATAGCTGGAATATTGCTGAGTGCAGTATTAAACAACAAACAACTCAAAATAAAGCTAGCTGTGTGCACACCTGTGAAGCTCAACACACAACACACATTCAGTGCAGGAAATATAAAATAATCTTCATTCTTTCCTTTCAACATGTCCATAAGAACAAGAAAAGAAATACAGGAAACTACATTTATAAAAAACTCAAATGGACTCAAATGGACCAATAACTATGTTAATTGGGGTAAAGGTGTCAGTACTTAATCCAGTTAATGACTTGTCTTCAATTGTATATTGTTGTTTTGAAGAGCTGCGCGTTGCCGCGGATGTTTCATTAGGTTGATAGGTACACGCGAGCAGGTCGGAGATGAACAGTTCGTTGTAAACAACGTCGTTGACACAGTACATGTGGGACCACAAAGTGAGTTTGATACATCCGTTTTTTCGTCAAATCCATTAATTTTATACGATAAAACATACAGCCAATGGCCGGGATCGAACAAATAGTGAGTTCTAGCCGTCAGTTTGTTATAAGCCTGTTTCTTATAAACCTTGTTTACTGTACTGGATATGCCAACATGGGCACAAGTATCCTGCATTAGAACCCCCTGTACAGGTACTCCATATGCCCTGTTACTCCATATGCCCTGTTACATTTGAGACGACCCCTCACTATCTACAGCAGTCTATGTTAGTTGAAGGCACAGTGCATAACAGGTCAGGGTTGTTCTCAAACACTTGCTTTGTTCACTGACTCTGCCTGGACAATGACGGAGGTGGTGTGTTGACTACCTGTCATCTCCCCTAGGTAAAGCAGTCTATGAGGGGGCGGAGAGAGGGACATCTGGGAAGTCAGGACGCTTCCCCTTTCAAATCTTTAACACACTAATGCAAGGTTCAGCATTACTGAAAGAATCTTCAAAAAAGGATGTTTCAAGTTTTATAAATAAGTTTGATTCCTAGTTCAAAGTCCATGTTAATCATTACATATTTCAGAAAGTTTTAACATGAGTGAGAGAGGGAGTAGGGTTTTACGCCGCTTTTAGCAATATTCCAGCAATATCACCTCGGGAGGACACCAGAAATGGGCTTCACACATTATACCCATGTGTGGAATCGAACCTGGGTCCTCGGCGTGACGAGTCAATGTTTTAACCACTGGGCTAGTTAACCGTAAGCGGAGTGAAGCATGAATGTCAAGTGGTCCTGTGAACGTGCTGCTCTTGTTTCCGGCGTGACGAGTCAATGTTTTAACCACTGGGCTAGTTAACCGTAAGCGGAGTGAAGCATGAATGTCAAGTGGTCCTGTGAACGTGCTGCTCTTGTTTCCGGCGTGACGAGTCAATGTTTTAACCACTGGGCTAGTTAACCGTAAGCGGAGTGAAGCATGAATGTCAAGTGGTCCTGTGAACGTGCTGCTCTTGTTTCCGGCGTGACGAGTCAATGTTTTAACCACTGGGTTAGTTAACTGTAAGCGGAGTGAAGCATGAATGTCAAGTGGTCCTGTGAACGGGCTGCTCTTGTTTCCAGTGTTCAGGTCAAGGATCAAGCCTAGGTTTTCTGTGTAGTTATAACTTCCTGGGCCCCGTTCCACAAAGCGATCTTAGGGCTAAGTTGATAGTAACTCACTAAGTACACGATCTTAAATTTTGGTTACGATCGGCCGCCCGTTCCACAAAGCAATCTTAACTGAGAGAGTTGTAAGTTAAGATCAAAATGCTAAGTTGCTCCGGACCAACTTAGGATCGCTAAAATCAATCTTAAATATTGTACCATAACAACAAAGATGGCCATATTTCGACAATGCGTCGTCTGCTAAACATGACCAAGGGAGGCCACTCTTAGGGAAACTTTCGTATCTTCAAGGCTGAAGATTCCGATCTTTGTTAAGATCGGCTACTTAAGAACTTGTAAAGTTACAATCGCCCTAAGATCGCTTTGTGGAACGGGCGTAAACTTTAGCTAAGACGATTTTATAATCAACGTAAGTCTCTAAGATTGATTGTAGTTACGATCGCTTTGTGGAACAGGACCCTGTACCTTATACCTACCTATCACTATTAAAACAATCCTAAGCTACCCCATTCGGAACAGCTGTGTAAAAAAAGTACCCAGCAGTTTCTATGGTTACCTGTCATAACACCTCCATTGGAAGACCATGTATGAATGAATGATACGTTATTGCCTCTCGAGTATAAAATACTTCATGACAACGCCTCCAGTTTCAACCTCATGTCCATGGTTGGGTTTCACTCAGTAATTTATAAGCTGTTGCAAGAACTAGGTAAAACAATCATCCTCCAGTTGATGGATGAACATAGTCTTTGTTGTGCAAAGCTGTTAGCTGAAACAATTCACCAATGTGCAACCAGGGATGTTGATGTAGTGGAAAATATCCATGTTATTGCTGTATTGATTGGTGCAAATGTATTCATACACACAATGATTGATTTAGTATTATTAATCGATATATATAGATATATCATGATACTTCGGAGTCGATCAATCAATACTAGTCAATTACACCCCTAAGCACTGCTATTAAAGTCAGCGCTATGATACACAACATACTCTCTTCTGTATCACTATCACGGCATTTGCTTAACAAATTGTTATATTTATCTACATATCAGCCATTTTCAACACTTCTACAAACTGGTGCTGATCACACCCGTGAAGATCCGGGTTAGAATAGGTCTTCAGCCACAGATGCTTGTTGTAAGAGGCGACTAATGGGATGGGGTGGTCAGACTCGCATGATGATTTGTCAGACTTGGTTGATGCATGTCCTTGTATCCAAATTACGTAGATCAATTTTTATTATGTCAATTTCTGCATTGTCTGGTCCAGACACAATTATTTACAGACCACTGTCATATAGCAGGAATATTTCTGAGTGCGGTGTTAAACAACAAACAAAAAAATAAACAAACAAACAGCCTCATCAACAACTTTCGGAAACACTTATCACAACGTTTTCAAAAATCAAAATACATTTCCACACTTTCCTCTGAAATAGTGTATCACACAATGTATGATATGATGAACAAAGTATGTTATTGCCTTGTGAATTCAGCATATTGTTTCCGCTGTACGTAAATGATAGAATGGGCTTCTCACCTCGAGATCCCTCGGGTCCATTGCTAGTAGGGACAGACATCTCCTGTGTTGGTTTCTCTGCTATATTGATGGCACTGGAAAACAGAAAGATTACAGTTATTTCCTTAACACTGCTTAACCCACCCATTGTTCTGATGTCTAATGTCGAAACAGTCTTTCCTTGAGTGAGTGAGTGAGTGAGTTGGGTTTAACGCCGCTTTTAACAGTATTCCAGTCATATCACGGCGTGTCAGCTTAATGTGGGAGGAAAGCCCGAAGTGATGCAGGTCTTAGACGTTTACCACTTCGGTGAAACCCATGAGCACGGGTATGGTGCTGACAAACCTAGAAACATAATCGGGGCAAATCCGGGATTCGAACCCACAATCATAGGTTTCTGGCGTGCCCAAGGGACGCAACTCTGCACAGCGAATCGCGGCGCCTTAGACGACTGGGCCACCCGTGCCCCCAGTCTTTCCTTGAACTCAGTGATAGAAACAGTTTTAGTCCACTGGTCCTCATGGTGATAACATATAGCAAAACCTATAAATAGGGAAAATTTCTACTTGTCCTTATGACACCTTACTATTGGGCAGTCCTGACTACAGGATTAGTGCCAAGTTCTGATGCTGGAAACTCGATGCTTTTGCAAATATAAGGAACTGAAAAGATTACTTTTCATACAGTAAAAAGATTACATTTCATACAGTAAAAAGATTACATTTCATACAGTGTGGATATCTTGGAATAATAAAAAAATAACTCGTATTAAATTATAATAAAAAATACAAGCATAAAATATTGTGCAGTATGCAAGTGACAATATTTCTAATGCCAGTGAACACCATGAGAAAACAATGTATTTCAGTATGGATAAGATGCACATGTAAACAGATCATATTTGGAATCTATATAGTGTATTGCACACGTTATCCCAAGGACATTCATAATGTATTAACAACACTGAACAACACAAACACACTCTCATATACAGCCAGTATTCATCACACATCTGTGACAGGTGCTTGCACCGTGTGCACTACTTATAATACATGCGTATACTCACTTTCAATAACCAACAGCCAGAAAATTGTGTTTTTCCAAGCAGCTATTGAGTCTCACCCACTCACAGAGTAAATCATTAATACTGAGGTTAAAAAGTGATAGATTTTGGGCATTCCTAAATTATAATCACAGAAACTCTCAATCTTGTGGCGGCACATGGTCCTGTGTACAGTGCACAGGTCACAAATCAGGTGAAGTTGACAATGTCGGTCATGGAGAATCCTTGGATGGGTGACCGTGTTCCCGAGTGTTTTTAGGGCTTCGGTTCTGTTTGTTTGTTTGTTGTTTAACGCCGCACTCGGCAATATTCCAGCTATATGACAGCAGTCTGTAAATAATCAAGACTGGACCAGACAAGCCAGTGATTCACATCATGAGCACAGATCCATGCAATTGGGATCGATGACATGCATCAACCAAGTCAGCGAGCCTGACCGCCCCATCCTGTTAGTCGACTTCTACGACAAGCATGGGTTGCTGAAGACCTATTCTACCCGGGATCTTCACGGGTCGGCTTCGGTTCTGCCCCACACTAAGGCACATATAGCACATGTGATGTCATCTTAGGCAAGAGCCCTTCATTGTAACACGCCTCTGTTCAGTGAATGGGGTACCCAGTAGGATGAGATGACAATGAGTGCACACTGATCCATTGACCAGGGTAATAATAGTGTACCGCTATGAGCATCCACTTGGTGAATTGAACTTGGCGCATCATAAATGCATACATCATCATTATTATTATTATTATTAATGACCCCAGGGGTTCCTTAATATCAAGACAGCTTCAATTGTCTAGTTGATAGAGTGTTTCCCTGTAGAGTAGAAGGCTGGTGGTTTGAACCCCAAAAATGCTAAAAGAGAGTACCATGCTTGGCACTCAGCATTGAGGGAATAAAACAAGGACTGATTCGCTTGGAGTATACAGTGTCTGAGTGGTGTATCCACATTAAACAGCGGCATGGTATCTCAGTGTGCTAGCACTATAAAATCTGGACTAGCCCGGACTAGTAGAAGTAGGCACACAGAGACACACAGAGACACACACACACATGCAGACACACGCACAGACACAGACACAGACACACACACACACACACATGTGCATGTACATCGTTATATAAGTGCAATAATCTTGAATGTGATGTAAAACCCCATTTCACCTCATCTCTCCTTAATTTCTAGCATTATTCAACATTATCTGACACACGTGTATACTCTAGTATAACCATCCCAAAGTTTACACAGTCAGCTGTAAAAACTGAAATCTTAAAAAAATAATAAAAATTCTTCAAAAGCAATTCCTTGTAACAATTAAATTTGTTACCTTGCAACCAATCAGTAAGTGAATAATTAGTAATTCTTATTTTCAGTGCTCAAAATAAGATATAATAGATACATTCTTACAAATCTGTAAACAAATATCTTACAGCCAACAGTTTCAATACAGACAGTGAACACACATTTCAGTGATCATAATAAGATAGAATATATGGGTTCTAACCAGTCTGTAAACAAATATCTTACAGCCAACAGTTTCAATACAGACAGTGAACACTCATTTCAGTGATCATAATAAGATAAAATAGATACGTTCTAACCAGTCTGTAAACAAATATCTTACAGGCAACAATTCCAAGAGAGACAGTGAACACACATTTAGGTGATAATTATAAGACACAATAATACATCCCAACCATTCAGTAATCTATCTCATAACGTGTATCCTACCTTCCCATTACTACTTCAGGTGATATATCCACTGAACTCTAACTGACCCCCAAATCAGGTGACCAATAATGGCAGATACAAGCTCCTTGAGATACTACCAGTTCCAGGTGACTGGTAGATCAACCACCAGGATCTGGCCACTGGTGCTAGTGTTCCAGGTAGTGCATCTTTAACGTCAATCGCAAATTAGGTCAGACTGTTGATCGTCACAGATCAATGAAGAAGTCAGTTAATATTTGAATGTTGCCTCGTTAGAACAGCATTGTCCAACAGAAGCCAGCAGTTTGAGCCAAGGCACTGGTCTTTGGTGGCAGTCAAGATCTTTCCGTCGCTGTTTATACGGTTCTATGAACATGCCAGCACGGACTTGGAAGTGGGTTGTGTTAGACAACATGAAGTATTAATGGAATGTTCGCGGTGGTATTGTAAGTGCCATGACTAGTATGCGTTTATAGCTGTAGAAGTTTTACACAAGCTTGATGACTCTATAACAACCTTCATGAGGGCGGTCACAATGGATACAAAACATACTGATAGCATTCAAGGAGCCATATCTCACAAGCCTACATCCTTGACGATAAAGGATCTAATGTAATGGTTCTACCTGCTACTATGAACAGCATTCATAGTCACATACAACTGAAATATGTATGCTGCTTATACAGACGAAGTGGGTTAGTCAGAACGGGAGACTAGAATCTGTCAAACTGGAATCCAGAACCCTATTATATTGGAATCCTGAACCCTGTTATATTGGAACGCAGAACCCTGTTATAATAGAATCCCAAACCCTGTTACACTGGAACCCAGTACCCTGTTATATTGAAATACAGAGCCCTGTTTCACAGGAATCCAGAACCCTGTTATATTGGAACCCAGAACCCTGTTATAATGGAACACACAACCCTGTTACAATGGACCCAGTACCCTGTTATATTGAAACACAGAACCCTGTTATAATAGAATCCAAAACTCTGTTACACTGGAACCCAGAACCCCGTTACACAGGAACCCAGAACCCTGTTATGATGGAACCAGAACCCTGTTACACAGGAACCCAGAACCCAGTTATGATGGAACCAGAACCCTGTTATGATGGAACCAGAACCCTGTTACACAGGAACCCAGAACCCTGTTATAACAGAATCCAGAACCCTGTTATAATGGAACCCAGAACCCTGTTATGATGGAATCCAGAACCCTGTTATAATGGAACCCAGAACCCTGTTACACAGGAACACAGAACCCTGTTATAATGGAACCCAGAACCCTGTTATGATGGAATCCAGAACCCTGTTATAATGGAACCCAGAACCCTGTTACACAGGAACACAGAACCCTGTTATAATGGAACCCAGAACCCTGTTATGATGGAATCCAGAACCCTGTTATAATGGAACACACAACCCTGTTACACAGGAACCCAGAACCCTGTTATAATGGAACCCAGAACCCTGTTATAATGGAACCAAGAACCCTGTTATAATGGAACCCAGAACCCTGTTACACAGGCACCCAGAACCCTGTTATAATGGAATCCAGAACCCTGTTATATTGGAATCCAGAACCCTGTTACACAGGCACCCAGAACCCTGTTATAATGGAACCCAGAACCCTGTTATATTGGAATCCAGAACCCTGTTACACAGGCACCCAGAACCCTGTTATAACAGAATCCAGTACCCTGTTACATTGGAATCCATAACCCTGTTACATTGGAACCCAGTACCCTGTAACATTGGAATCCAGAACCCTGTTACATTGGAATCCAGAACCCTGTTACACAGGCACCCAGAACCCTGTTATAATGGAACCCAGAACCCTGTTATATTGGAATCCAGAACCCTGTTACACAGGAACACAGAACCCTGTTATGATGGAATCCAGAACCCTGTTATGATGGAATCCAGAACCCTGTTACATTGGAATCCAGAACCCTGTTACACTGGAACCCAGTACCCTGTTACATTGGAATCCATAACCCTGTTACACAGGAACCCAGTACCCTGTTACATTGGAATCCAGAACCCTGTTACATTGGAATCCAGAACCCTGTTATATTGGAATCCAGAACCCTGTTACACAGGAACCCAGAACCCTGTTATGATGGAATCCAGAACTCTGTGAAATCAGAGTTATTATCACCCCAGTGCAAAGAAACTTTTTATAGACTGGGGGCCCAGAAAAACGGTTACTACACTCTGGTCTGCACTGAACTACACTACACTACACCTTCAACACCGACTACACTAATTGCTAGACTGCATACCTGTTATTATGGTTTATCTCAAACTCTCCATTGACCTTGACCTTGACCTTGACGTCATCAACCTGTTGTTTACTTTGAGATATTCCCACCACTGACATCTCAGGCTAACACACCTGGAATATACATGGGATATATACAGTTATCACATGATGGGGTGATTTAATAGACACATGTATTCTGGTATTAGAAAACTATAGTCTGTCATGTTCAGATTGTAAAAATCTTTGTCCGGTAGGATACAAATTCTATTTGGCATCTGCATAGAATAATACTGTAAGAATTTCATTTTAATATATATTGCAGTTTGTGGCTTTTTTTTCTACAAAAGAAATGTTTGGGCTGAGATGTTAAAACTGCTCCCCTCCCACCCACCCCTGTGTGGCAAACCAAACATATTTCTTAAAGTTTTTTTTATTTATAAGGAGCAGAATCTCTGCACTTTTTCACTTTTTATTCTGGTTATTCTGTGGTGTATATTTATATGCTACTGGCCCAAGCCCAGGTCAAATAATGTTTCTTCTGGCCAGAAATCTCAGTTAATAACAATCCATGTGTTTATACTAAAATCTGCCAAAAGCATGCAAAGAAACCATGGAGAATTCAACAGCAAAACAGCAAACAATTGACATTTTTACAGAAAAACCTTGCTAGTCCAAACGTAGCCTGTCTCACAGTCTCTGAACCCTTCCTCCCAGCCCTTTCTGTAATGCAAAAGCCTCAAATGAAGCAAGTCTAGATTTACTTCACGTTCTGAATCTTCTTATAAAATCTCACTGGGGCTCCTTGGTTGCACATGGTTCTGTCAAAATTATATATCTCAGAGACCAAGTGTAAGTCTTGTCCAAACCTAGTTAATCGAAAGCTCTGGACCATTAGTTGGGTGGGTGGGTTGGTTGGTTGGTTGGTTGGTTGGTTTGTTGTTGAACGCCGCACTCAGCAATATTCCAGCTATATGACATTGGTCTGTAAAATAATCAAGTCTGGACCAGACAATCCAGTGACATCATGAGCATCGACCAACGCAATTGGGATACGATGACATGCATCAACCAAGTCAGCAAGCCTGACACCCGATCCCGTTAGTCGCCTCTTACGACAAGCATAGTTGCCTTTTACGGCAAGCATGGGTTGCTGAAAACCTATTCTGCCCCGGATCTTCACGGGTCACCATTAGTTGGGACTGTCTATACATAGGTTTATGTTTCTGAAACCAAACCTGGCTTTCTCAAGTACACTGTTACCTGAGCCACAAGTACAAGTGAGCTGAACAATTCATGCATACACACTTCACAAATACAGGGCAAACAATTGCCAGAATAAGGACAATGTACACGCAAACTGTCCAAATATCAGATTTATCCCCTCGTTATAACTTAATACAAGGAAACTGTAAATATTTGCAAAACTGCCTATCATATTTCCTTCGATATCTCCTGGCACACATTTTCCCATAGTAGTGCAATGGTTCAAAAGGTTGAACTGGTAAGGACACAGATGGCATGCAGAGTTAATTCTGGAAGGAGCCTTGTGCTTTTAGCCCCTAAATTTGAAAAAAAGGCCCATATTTTCAAAGACAATGGGGCATTTTAAGATTGTGCTGTATGGGCAAGTGTGCATGTACCTCTGGAATATTTGAAATTTTCAGATAAAAGGCCCATGTCAGAAAAGTCCTAGTGCACCCTGGTTCTATTCCACAAGTCAAACTTCTGTCCATGTCTGTGTTAATCAGCTGTAGTAGTTCAGTGACCCCAGACCCCAGATGTTACCCTGGGAAAAATACAGGACAGACAACAGGCCCATGATCTAAATAGCAAGTGTTTAAGTCTGATTTATGTTTCAAAAAGAAGTTTTAAAAGCTGTAATTTATGGAGCCACTTGACGCAACCAAGCAATACAAGAGACCGTGTTCAAGATGTTGACGTCCTCAGCATGGTGCACACAGTCGTCTCGTGATACTAACAAACATGAAGGACCAGATCACACCGCTAATCTATTAATCAAATATAACTGTATTTACAAGATGTATACTATAAACTGAAGTCAGAAAATGTAAACAATGCAAGTCTTCAGCAATTTCAAACCAAAATCAAACATCACATACATAAAATCAGAAAAATTAGCATACATACATTTCCCAGGCTACGTGCGCACTGTATGTTGATCAGATTCAACACCTTACTTGTCGTAGTAAGTACTCTGGACGCTTAAAAAATTGATAAAAGGCAGCACTACTGGATATACAAGTTAAACTTGTCTTCAGAGATTAAATGGCTCTGAAAAAACTTTGATGTCATGAAGGAAAAACCTTTTCGATAATAGTTAAAAGGCAATTATACACCCAACCTCCACTGCCATGTAAACTTTTACACGGGGTACTTATATAGATAACTTACAGATAAGTCTAGAGTTGTCAAGAGCAGAGCAAGTAATACAGCAAATACGGTAGTCCATTGAGTATAAATGTCAGCTTCTGAAAGTACTGTCAACACTCAGGACAAAGGGAGATAGACAGGACGAAGGAGTTGATGGAGGGGGGGGAGGGGGAGAGAGAGACATGAGGGAGAGGAGAGGAGGGAGGAGAGGGAAGTAGTGCAATGCAACCGCTTGTAGACATGCATCACAATGTACTTGGTGGGTCACTGTGACATACCACAGTTACTTCAACTCTGATTGGTTGTGGTTAAGGAAACAAACAGCAATAAAGATGTTGAGAGTTTATGATGTTTGACACTTACACAGACTTACTGGTATCATCATCATTTATAATCAACTTTAACAAGGAAGTGTTAAAGAAACTGCCTCTTATCACACGCGCATATGTTACTAGACTCACTCAAACAGGACATACAGATAGCATATTCATGATGGTCATAATATAGATATACATCAGGGGAACATGCTAAATTGAGTGGGTAGAGAATGGATAATTATATATCATAAATGCCATACTTTGACTTGCTGAAAGTCATATTTGTTGTAGTTTGACTATCACTATCGGGAACGTGGAAGCATCGGCTGTGATTGGTCAAATTGTTTCATATGAAAAAAATATCTGGCAATAGCGATTTAACATAGCAACCCAGCAAACACGTGGCTGAAAGTCTGGACCAAGCAAACATGTGGTTGAAAGTTTGGACCAAGCAAACATGTGGTTGAAAGTCTGGACCCATCAAACATGTGGCTAAAAGTTTGGACCCAGCAAACACGTGGCTAAAAATTTGGACCCATCAAACACATGGTTGAAAGTTTGGACCCAGCAAACATGTGGTTGAAAGTTTGGACCAAGCAAACATGTGGTTGAAAGTTTGGACCAAGCAAACATGTGGCTAAAAGTTTGGACCCAGCAAACACGTTGCTGAAAGTTTGGACCCAGCAAACACGTTGCTGAAAGTTTGGACCCAGCAAACACGTGGCTAAAAGTTTGGACCCAGCAAACACGTTGCTGAAAGTTTGGACCAAGCAAACATGTGGTTGAAAGTTTGGACCCAGCAAACACGTGGCCAAAAGTTTGGACCCAGCAAAAACGTGGCTAAAAGTCTGGACCCATCAAACACGTGGCTAAAAGTTTGGACCAAGCAAGCACGTGGCTGAAATTTTGGACCAAGCAAACATGTGGCTAAAAGTTTGGACCAAGCAAACATATGGCTGAAAGTTTGGACCCAGTAAACATGTGGCTAAAAGTTTGGACCAAGCAAACATGTGGCTGAAAGTTTGGACCAAGCAAACATATGGCTGAAAGTTTGGACCAAGCAAACATGTGGCTGAAAGTTTGGACCTAGCAAACACGTGGCTGAAAGTTTGGACCAAGCAAACATATGGCTGAAAGTTTGGACCCAGCAAACGCGTTGCTAAAAGTTTGGACCAAGCAAACATGTGGCTGAAAGTTTGGAACAAGCAAACATGTGGTTGAAAGTTTGGACCAAGCAAACATGTGGCTGAAAGTTTGGACCAAGCAAACATATGGCTGAAAGTTTGGACCAAGCAAACATGTGGCTAAAAGTTTGGACCAAGCAAACATGTGGCTGAAAGTTTGGACCAAGCAAACATGTGGCTGAAAGTTTGGACCCAGCAAACAAGTGGCTGAAAGTTTGGACCCAGCAAACACGTGGCTAAAAGTTTGGACCAAGCAAACATGTGGCTGAAAGTTTGGAACAAGCAAACATGTGGTTGAAGTTTGGACCAAGCAAACATATGGCTGAAAGTTTGGACCCAGCAAACACGTTGCTAAAAGTTTGGACCAAGCAAACATTTGGCTGAAAGTTTGGACCAAGCAAACATGTGGCTGAAAGTTTGGACCCAGCAAACACGTTGCTGAACGTTTGGACCCAGCAAACATGTGGCTGAAAGTTTGGACCAAGCAAACATGTGGCCAAAAGTTTGGACCAAGCAAACATGTGGCTGAAAGTTTGGACCAAGCAAACATGTGGCTAAAAGTTTGGACCTAGCAAACTCATGGCTAAAAGTTTGGACCCAGCAAACATGTGGCCAAAAGTTTGGACCAAGCAAACATGTGGCTGAAAGTTTGGACCCAGCAAACACGTTGCTGAAAGTTTGGACCCAGCAAACACGTGGCTGAAAGTTTGGACCCAGCAAACACGTTGCTGAAAGTTTGGACCCAGCAAACACGTTGCTGAACGTTTGGACCCAGCAAACATGTGGCTGAAAGTTTGGACCAAGCAAACATGTGGCCAAAAGTTTGGACCAAGCAAACATGTGGCCAAAAGTTTGGACCCAGCAAACTCATGGCTAAAAGTTTGGACCCAGCAAACTTGTGGCCAAAAGTTTGGACCAAGCAAACATGTGGCTGAAAGTTTGGACCCAGTAAACATGTGGTTGAAAGTTTGGACCAAGCAAACATGTGGCCAAACGTTTGGACCCAGCAAACTCATGGCTAAAAGTTTGAACCCAGCAAACATGTGGCCAAAAGTTTGGACCCGGCAAACATGTGGCTGAAAGTTTGGACCCAGCAAACACGTGGCAGAAAGTTTGGACCAAGCAAACACGTGGCCGAAAGTTTGGACCAAGCAAACATGTGGCTAAAAGTTTGGACCAAGCAAACATGTGGCTGAAAGTTTGGAACAAGCAAACATGTGGTTGAAAGTTTAGACCAAGC